CAACACTTGAGATACCAGTGCAAAAGAAAAAATAAAAAGGGGGTGGAAGGTAAAAAGGGGGCAGAAACATTAAAAATTTTTTACAGTTGTGTTGTATCAAAATATGCCTAAAAGACAAGATTTTAGAAGATTTTAACCTTTTAATTTGTAATATATACTAGTTTATTTACAAAAGATTAAAGCAGATTTTACATGTTTTTAAATTATACAAAGTGTAACCAAAAGGTACGTCTATATATTGTTTATGTACTCATTGTTTTATGTAAATTCTCTACTGTAATAAGTTAAAATATATATATTGTATTTTAGTTGACTGAAGAGGGGCAAAGCCTGAAACGAGTACAAAACAATGTACCGTATCGACTCAACTAATAAAGGAATTTGACGGAAAATTTGCCATGTGTCTTTGGAATAAAACACAATACTAGTGTTTACTATGCCACAAATATAAAACAGAACACGGTTTCAAAAAGAAAATGAAATTCGAACATAATTTTGCTCTACGATACGAACAAAAACTCACCATACAACATTACATTAGTTCGCAGCGCCATTTTTTATTCACTTCTGTTCATCGGTCTCAGTTCGTGTGTTTGCTTCATCATGGAAGGATCTCACTCGATAAAGGAAATCTTGAGATATTATCAGAGAGTGACTGATTTTATTGAAAAGAAACATCCTGAAAAGGTTCACACTAGCCGTATTGCTGCTCAGAGTAATGACATTTGCCTATGTCATTTTAGAAACATTTTAAAAAGTAGGCAAAACCAAACTTCTTTGGATAGATATTCTACCAAGCGACCTCTATCTAGTGAAAGTGCTGGTGGAAGTGAAGGAAAGAAAGCAAAAAGTAGTGAATAAAAATTTAAAAAATATATATAAAACAACAGAATTTTTTTTAATCTTTTCTAAGTTATTTTTAAGTTACATTATGTTATGTAAGTTAAGTTTTAGTGTCATTTTCCTTCTCCCTCTCTTCCACCACTAGTTTACACCTCCACTGTCATCTATCCTCAAAGGTAAAGTGCAAATAAACCTACATTTTTTTTTTAATCAATTATTATTCTATTATGGTTATTTATACATTTACAACTACAAAATGCATTTTTCAGTGTTTTCCTTACTATAGTTATTATTATTTTTTTTAATGTACTACTTAGCTTTAATTTGAGTGTGTTTTTCATGTTGGAACGAATTATTTGGTTTTACATGTAATCGTATGGGGAGAAATGATTCACCTTACGACATTTTCATGATAGATCTCAGTTCTGGAACAGATTAATTTCGTATCGTGAGGTACCACTGTAATTAACAAAATTTAATTATTTTCTAGTCAAAAGTAACACAGCCAAAACACCTTCATGATTTGTTATGCTAAATCAGGACAAATTTGTAACTTTACTGTTTACTTACCTACAATACAATTTACAGTTAGTTTCATCTCTCCATCCAGCAAATCAAAAAATCACCTTTTTCCATTCTTTTAGCACAATTGATTATCCCCAGTCTGCTTCAGATCAGTCTTCTTTTTTAAGTCGTTGTCATTTTGTTCAGCTTCTTCGTGAGTTGTTTCTTACTTATCTCAATTGCATGATTTATCTTCAGTTCTTCAATCATGTGTTGCAAGACAATTTATTTTCTTTTAATAGCAGGACCCTGTGGCTTGTTTAATAATAATCTATATTTTTTTAAAACATTTGCAAAGATCAGTTGGCTTTCTTCTTCACATGGTGATGCCATTTTCATAGTGTTGCCAGTATTTACTTAAAAATGTAAGCATTTACTAATAAGTAAAAGTAAACTTTTATTCACACATAAAAAGTAAGTACTTTTACTTCAAAGCTTTTATTACAGTAAGTACTTTTACTAATTACTTTTAAGTATTTACTACTTTTTATTCAACCGGCCCATTGTCACAATGCCAAGCTGCAATTTTTAATCAACTTTTAATTTCAAAAATTATATGACTTCTAGTCTCCACCAGAAGTTTGTATATAGTTAATGGGGGTATTCAACTTCTAAAGCTTTCCATATCTGGTCTTGATTTTTATCTATCTGAGTCTGTTCTTGAGTTTAACAAATGAAGGATAGATGGACAGATAGACAATAGTAGGAATGTATAGGTCTGCAGTTTGAAAATTGCAGCCCAATGAATGTTACTTTAATTAATATTTTTTTAAAATTTATATAAAATGTAATTTAAAAAAAAATACATTTTATANCATCTATTTTTTCTTAATTTTTATAAGTTAAAACAATATAATTTTTGAGATTATGTATGAACATTTATATGGTGTACAAATTTTGTAATGCAGAGTAATAAATTAATATGAAAAAAGTTTAAATATGCAGTCAAACTTCTGTATAATGAATTGCTCCAGGAAAGAAAGAACTTGATAGATATCTAGTCATCAAGGTAGCAGCCTACCACTCTGGGGACCTGGGATTAAATCTGGATGGGTTGAAAAACCTCAGGAAATTTTCTGGGATGGTCCATTCAGATATGTCAGGCCTCCTGAAAATCACTAAGCCCTCGTTACCTGACTGTCCTATTGTGGGCCTGGCCAAACTCATAATGAGCTTGCTGAAAAGGCCCCTTAGTGCCCACCAGGAAGAAAGAGTTTAAGAAAGAAATATTCATTATATAAAAAATTCATTAAGTGGGAAGTGCTCTAGTAAAGAAAAAAAAAACAGGTTGCTCTAATAATGATTTATTCTCCATGAAAATAGAGAGGTTGCGGCTGACGTTTTCATCACAAAAATGTGAATGTTGGACGTCGAGTGCCATAATCTGGCAAGTCTAGAAGGTTGACAATGGCATTTGCTATGTCTAGCGTGGTGGGTAGAAGTTCAGCTTAAACTTTTTTATTTTTTTTGTGTTTGGGGTTAAAATTATTATGTATTTTATTAAAATAATGATTACTTAAGCATTTATGGATAATATTGTAACGAAACAGATGATTTTAATCCAGAAATTTAATTATTCAGTTCTTTTGCAAGTGATGCGAAGTGCCTATAGAATTTACATATATTTGTGTTCATAATAACTTATCATAATTCTGTAGGATTAGGGTTGTTCTTTCACAGCATCTTCTACCATCAACAGTGTAATATGTTTGTAAATTTTCTAAAAATAAGTTCCCAAGCTGCTTTCAGATTTACATAAGCCATTACTTCCATCAACAAAAGTATGAGGTAGTCCTATCATCCTATTGTATGGTAGGAGACACGACGCTAATTAAAAATAATTATTTAGTTTTATTAAACATTCCATAAATACTTTAAAATAGTTTAATTTGTTTATTTACCTTCACTGGTAACATTCGTCATTAAACATTTCTGCCATTTTTCAACAATATCCCACGAGTCAGTGTGTGACATGAACATGTGGTACAATGTGTTTTACTTGGAGTTCAAACATAAAACATGTACTTCTGCTTGTTGTACAAGTTCAATGTTTGAACTTCAGCTGCAAACTCTCTAGTGTCTTTGTACTTACTTTAATAATAAAATAAACTCTTTTGTTTGATTTTTTCATATAAATTGCATGCATAAGATGTAGCAATCTTTATTGAAATTGAGAAAAAATTTAAATATAATAATTAGAAATAAATAAATTAATATACAATGTTCCGGAAGAAAAGATTGATCCTGAGCAGGATTCAAATATGCAACTCCTGCTTATTATGCAGATGTGCTGTAAATTACATTACCCAGACCTCAGACCAATCTTTGCTTTCAGACAAAAATAATTTAGAAGATACAACCATCCAGATCACTATAATTAGAAATAAAAAGCCTCTGATTGTTAAATTTAACACAAAATAGCAGATTAATTGCTTACCTTTAGTCCAGATTATGTAATATTTTATAATTATTTAGCCATATTAGTCTGATTTAAGATCTGGCAGTATCTAATAAACTCCCAACAACCTTTAAATAACCAGTAAAATATTTAAAAATACTATTACAAACATTTTCAACCGTTATTTCCAGTCTTTTTCAGGTTAAAAGTTTTGAGATTCGAATAGCAGTTGTGCTTGAAGATTTAAACTGTTTTTAGAACATATAAACAGTCATACCCTATTAAAATTCAATAAAAAACGCAAAAAAACAGCATCTAAAATAGTATAAGAGAAGCCAAGTTCTTCACGGTAAGCCTTAATCCTATCCCTCTCCATGAGGGGGGAATTTCAACATGTATATTATGTGAGACTAATCGGGGGTAGGATGTTTACGAGGATGTCCCTCTCCTACCACTTACTCGACTCAAGACCTTGAGGTCCGGTCTCGCTTGTCTAAAGGATGGGAAAAAAGGGTTAGGAGAAAGGATCGTTAGATTCTTTCACCTGTCAGGTTCTGACACCAATCTATCAATTTATCGCGGATAGATACGCGGATGGATGGAAAATTATCACGAGCGATCTCGTCGAGGACTTCGGGTTCAGTATGGAGTGGAAAATGTCGGAAGAAATGTACTCCAATCCAAGTTCGTTAACAAAATACCCGTTTATTCTGTACATTTCTACATGGTTAATAATTTGAATACAAATCCCTCTGGGAAGTTCAATCCATATAGTTCGTAAAGTAACAGCAAAGTATAAAGTAGTCGCGCCCCTAACCACGAGGTTCGAATATTCGAATAGCGAGAGAGAGCTTACATATCATCGCGTGTAGGATAAATACCTCGAGTTAAATCGTGGATGTAGTTTCTTGTTCTCCTGGGTTTGGAATATAGTCCAAAGTTCAAATCAGTCAAAGTTCAAAGTCTGTTGAAGACGGTGGCGACGAGAGGCAGGTAATCCACACACACACAGTATAAAAAATAACTTTTTCCCCCTTGTGTCACCATCGCACTTGTCTTTTATATGGGGGCTCTATTTTCGAGATTACTCCATGTACGTCACAGGTGATGATCTTCGTTGACCAATGGTGGGCAAAGTGACAAACTTATGACACAACAGTTAACTCATCTTCTACAGGGAAGTATTGTCGTGGGAACGGAGTTTTTATGAGCGATTTTTATGAGAAAATTTGTCGGTTGTTTTTCCCTTTTTGTGTTAACCCTAACTTTCATTCTAATGAATAAAAATATTCGAATCTTAAATCCGGGCCCTCACAATTATATAAAAACATGCCCATATTTGAATGAACATTGTGTGAAAATTTGAAAGCAATTGATGAAGAACTTTCAGAGATTTGTTATTAGGAACAATTGAACCTTACATTTTTATTTATATAGATGTCAGGCTTAGTTTATATGTATATTGTTTATGTTTAGAATCATAGTTCTAAAATAAAATTTTGATTTTTGTTTTTACAGGCTATAGAAGCACTTAAAAAATATCCTACTCCTGCCTCTCGTTTAGCCTTAACAGATACAATTGAAAATGAACACTGTTTTTATCGTGTTCGATGTGAAGCAGCTTTGTGTCTCAGAAAGGTAAATTTTTGTTTATAAAATCATATTTCAAAACTCATAATATTTTTATTAAATTATTAGTGGGTATTATGGTCTTATATAAATTGTTTGTATTATACTTTTGAATAATTTTTATACTAAATCAGAATGAAGTACATATAAAAATTGAGATTAAGTGAGTTTGTGTGTGTGTATATATATGCACAGGGTATATTTTTTATCTTGAGACAATGAAATATCTTAATTGGATTTCATTATTTTGGAAAAAGGTCAAGGTCACGTCTGAGGTCACCAATTTATTGCCCCTTAACACCCTACAACTTTTGTTTATACCTCTGTATATACACTTCATTCTGAAACTTTGAAGTAAGGATAAATACAAAAAACTGATGATATATGGTTAATATAACAAGGTTTTGCATATTCATCTTAAATGTTTTTTATTACATATTTAAACATTCAAAAAAGATTCAAATGGAAATTTGAATGTTTAAATATGTAATAAAAAATTTGTCTCTGATTCATAATATTAAACTTTCTAATTTTATCTAATTAATAAAAATTATATAAAATGTAAAAACATTATTTAATTTCTTAGAAAAATATTTGAGCTTAAGATGAATATGCAAAAGCATGTTATCAATATATTAACTATATCTTGTCAGTTTTTCTGTTTATCCTTCAAAGTATTGTTTACAATAAGTAAATTATATTATGCAGATTTTCTGTTAGATATTTTTATCAGGGCTTTTGTATGTTGTGAGAAGCTAGCTTTTTTCTTATAGTGTAGTATATTGCCAGATTATTCTATTTTATATTGTACAGATTACTTAAATTCAGATAATTTAAATATTAACTGGAAAATTACTTTTGTCAAGAAAATAAATAAATTTAAAGTTATAATCTTTAAATTTATTCTTTCTATATTATAGGTAGCAAATTCAATGTTAGCTACATGGACTGGACCACCTGCTATGATTACAATTTTTCGAAAGATGTTTGGGTCTCATTCATGTCCAAATATAATTCGTCAAAATAATTTTTCAAATTTCCAGCATTATTTTTTACAAAAGGTAAGCTTTATTTATAATTTTTTAAATAAATATGTAATTGAATTTTTATCTGCATTGTATTAGTTTTGCATTTATCTTAATCTGAATCTTCTGTATATAAGAAAAAGATTTGGACTTGTATGGATTGTTATGTATTATATTACATGAAAAAATGTGGATTAACCCATTTGCTTTGAATGCCACTCAGAAATCCACAAAAAATTTATTTTTTATATGACATAATTATTTCCACTTAACGCGAATCTAACATCCAAAAAAATTGCTGGGAAATAATTCCCGTGAAATAAAAACCCCTTTAAAAAGTGTTTTTACAAAAAAGTATATAAAAAAATAAAAATAATTTAAAATAAATGTTTTTATTTGAAAAATATAGCTGCAAGGATTGCTATTCATTCATTTAACAAGATGTGAAATTTCACACGTGCAGTCTACATTGTTTACAATCTGGTTGACCTTGAGAACAGCTGGTGTCAGCTTTCCCAGGTAGTTCTCATGTACGCCTCAGAGGAATATTGGTTTGAAGCAGGAGGGGAGCTAACTTACTGCATCTGTTCAAATATAACACAATAGTTTTGATTTTTATGCTATTAAAATATGGGGGGACCGAAAAAAAGGTATAGGAAAAAAATTCTACTGAATAAAAAACAAAAAACCTGCTGATGTCATAGAAAACATCCAATAGTGTTCTAAAAAATTTTACCAAAGTCAAAACGGTCAAATAGAAGTTTGGAACAATTTAATTAATTTGATAAAAAAACTCCCATAAAAAACAATAGCACAATCAATTACCTAACTAATAAATCGTCATAAAATATTTTCTCGGCAAAAATAATACAAAATTTGCAGAGATCATAGATAACAATGTATATTTGCTGATCCATACATTTTTGGAAAAGTTATAAGTCAAGGCCCTTTTTTATGAGGCCCTTAAGGCCTATTCCCAAGATAACTCAGGATATGGACTGCACAGCATCACACGCAGCCTGAGTTATCTCGGGTTATGGGTGGAATGGGTTAATTAATCTGGTGTTTTTTTTTTCTTCAATAAATTGCTTTTGGTATTTCTATTTGCTGTTTTATCTATAAACATTAAAAACTATCATGGTTCATATGGTAACATATTTTACTAAGGTGAAAAGAGTTCTGTGATAAAAATAAATTGAGAACTGCTTATTGCATACAATCATATATCATATCAGAAGGGATTGTATACACAGTGTAATCTCTGGATAGTGGACACTGCTGGGACCAAGAAGTTTGTTTGCTATTCGAAGGTACCAGTACATGCCAGTGGCCATATTGTATTTTAATCTGGTCATTATAAGGCAAAGAATACGATAGAGTATGAAAAAAATCAAATTTGATTTAGGAATATGAAAATACCAAAAAGTATATGTAACATTTTTAATAAATAATGTACTGTATATATATTTCAATCTTTGTAGGCGTAAAAATCGCATTTTAATTGAATTTTAAATAGTAAACAGTTTGTATAGGAAAATATACCTTCATGTTGACATAAAATGTAAATTTGGATTTGTAATGGTTACTGAATAACCTGTGTTTAAAATTGTTCCTTTTTTTTGGTGAGACACTCTGTATATTATCTTACATTATTCAATAAATTGAAGATAGGGTGTGACTTATCAATCACTATGTATATTCTGAAACCTTAACTTAAGAAACAATAAAGTTACCAAAAGTATTTGGTTTATTAATTTAGTTTTGTGTTATTTCAATGTATAATACCTGAAGATAGTTCAAATTAACTTTATAATTTGCTAGTGTGAATAATATAATAAAAGGAAAATCAAAAAAGTTCATTGATTTTTTTCTCTGATTGCTGTAATGCAAATGCATACTGGTGCCAAAATTTTGTCAAAATATCACTATATTTTTCTCAAAATTGTCTCATATAGTCACCCTTCTGATCATACCTCTGATAAAATGGAATCATCAATTTCATTTTTACTTTTTTAGGTAAATTGTAACCATATCTGTGAAAAGTAGGCTTTCATGTCTCAGCATGATTTTTGCAAAGATGGAGAGATACAAATTGAAAAATTGGATATGCTGTGAATATGCAACATACTGTCAAACTTTGCAGAACTTTGACAATATCTTTATTAATATAATATAGTTTGTTCTTCTCAAAGACAACACAAGGCTATATGTTGCCAAAAACATTAAGGCACTCTCAAAGAACTTCACTTGGGACTATAGCACCCACTCTACAGTCCACATCTTGCTCCCAGTGATTTTTCATTTCTTTCCTAAGCTGAAAGACATTCTGAAAGGTCAAAATTTCCAATCAGACAAAGCATTCTCACATTGCACATCATTAAGAGACTGGATCCAGATTTCTTCAGGCATAGTATCAAAAAACTTGTGTAGTGCTGGAATCAATATTTAACAAACTCAGTAATAATGTAGAAAAATAGAATATTGATCGATGCACATTATAATATTGGTTACATTCCAATAAACGTATTTTAATAAGAGTTTGAGAGTCATCAAATTTTGATTCTCCCTCATATATTTTAATGCAATGCCACATGATGCAACAATCATTCAAAAATAGATATTTATAGATAAATTAAATAAATAATAAAAAGGGAGTTGTGTTACATTGGATGGGACTATGAACTACAAAAATATGTATATGTTGGTAATTGGACTCTGATAATCATGTTGAAACAACATATGTAATCAAAGAACTTATTTGGAAAGAGTAATTTATTTCTGAATGAACCCCATAAATATTCAGTGACACCGGGACTGGATTTGAGAATCCAAATCAAAACAAGAGGAGATTCAACTGTCCACCAACAAGGGTTTTTGGGAGGTGTCCATGATCTTTGGAAAATTTGAGTCAAATGAAGAGGAGGAAAATCAGTTTGTCACATCTAAGTCTCTATAGGAGAGTTGAGTCTGAGCCTCTAGATGAGAAAGAGACTTCTTTCCTTGCTTCTCCTCATACAGTCCTCACATCTCAACAGAAATGAAGAAGGAAAACTTTGCTTAGTTTGAATTATCTCAGGGAAGTGGATCTTGAAGTAAATCTACTGAGTGCAACTAGAACTTGGGTATTCAGGTATCTATGCTTGAAGCATCTCAATTCATTAGTTTTCTCTTCAAATAGAAAGCATGGTTATCATGCTTATTCTGTGCTGTCTGAAGTATGCAGTGTGTACAAACTCTTGTTACAAATAAAAAAAATTGTTATCATAAGAAAAATAAAGGCTAGTCTCCTATCTCCTCTTTTATCCATTGTCAGATTTGTGAAATGTGAATAGACATACATGAATTGAGTTTGACACCTGTCTGTTTTTNAGAAGATTTTAACCTTTTAATTTGTAATATATACTAGTTTATTTACAAAAGATTAAAGCAGATTTTACATGTTTTTAAATTATACAAAGTGTAACCAAAAGGTACGTCTATATATTGTTTATGTACTCATTGTTTTATGTAAATTCTCTACTGTAATAAGTTAAAATATATATATTGTATTTTAGTTGACTGAAGAGGGGCAAAGCCTGAAACGAGTACAAAACAATGTACCGTATCGACTCAACTAATAAAGGAATTTGACGGAAAATTTGCCATGTGTCTTTGGAATAAAACACAATACTAGTGTTTACTATGCCACAAATATAAAACAGAACACGGTTTCAAAAAGAAAATGAAATTCGAACATAATTTTGCTCTACGATACGAACAAAAACTCACCATACAACATTACATTAGTTCGCAGCGCCATTTTTTATTCACTTCTGTTCATCGGTCTCAGTTCGTGTGTTTGCTTCATCATGGAAGGATCTCACTCGATAAAGGAAATCTTGAGATATTATCAGAGAGTGACTGATTTTATTGAAAAGAAACATCCTGAAAAGGTTCACACTAGCCGTATTGCTGCTCAGAGTAATGACATTTGCCTATGTCATTTTAGAAACATTTTAAAAAGTAGGCAAAACCAAACTTCTTTGGATAGATATTCTACCAAGCGACCTCTATCTAGTGAAAGTGCTGGTGGAAGTGAAGGAAAGAAAGCAAAAAGTAGTGAATAAAAATTTAAAAAATATATATAAAACAACAGAATTTTTTTTAATCTTTTCTAAGTTATTTTTAAGTTACATTATGTTATGTAAGTTAAGTTTTAGTGTCATTTTCCTTCTCCCTCTCTTCCACCACTAGTTTACACCTCCACTGTCATCTATCCTCAAAGGTAAAGTGCAAATAAACCTACATTTTTTTTTTAATCAATTATTATTCTATTATGGTTATTTATACATTTACAACTACAAAATGCATTTTTCAGTGTTTTCCTTACTATAGTTATTATTATTATTTTTTTTAATGTACTACTTAGCTTTAATTTGAGTGTGTTTTTCATGTTGGAACGAATTATTTGGTTTTACATGTAATCGTATGGGGAGAAATGATTCACCTTACGACATTTTCATGATAGATCTCAGTTCTGGAACAGATTAATTTCGTATCGTGAGGTACCACTGTAATTAACAAAATTTAATTATTTTCTAGTCAAAAGTAACACAGCCAAAACACCTTCATGATTTGTTATGCTAAATCAGGACAAATTTGTAACTTTACTGTTTACTTACCTACAATACAATTTACAGTTAGTTTCATCTCTCCATCCAGCAAATCAAAAAATCACCTTTTTCCATTCTTTTAGCACAATTGATTATCCCCAGTCTGCTTCAGATCAGTCTTCTTTTTTAAGTCGTTGTCATTTTGTTCAGCTTCTTCGTGAGTTGTTTCTTACTTATCTCAATTGCATGATTTATCTTCAGTTCTTCAATCATGTGTTGCAAGACAATTTATTTTCTTTTAATAGCAGGACCCTGTGGCTTGTTTAATAATAATCTATATTTTTTTAAAACATTTGCAAAGATCAGTTGGCTTTCTTCTTCACATGGTGATGCCATTTTCATAGTGTTGCCAGTATTTACTTAAAAATGTAAGCATTTACTAAT